CCCATTCCTTTCTTGGACGTTTAATGTTATAAAAATGGGGGGGGGGGGGGGGGGGGGGTATCTATGTTGTTTGTTTTGTGTGTGGTTTTGTTTTTGGGTTTTTTTTTTTTGCTTTTTGTTGTGTGTGGGGTTTGTTTTTTTTTTTTTTTTGTTTTTTTTTTGTTTTCTGTGAAGTTTTTTTTTTTTTTTTTGTTTTTTTTTGTTTTTTTTTCTTTTTAATTTTTTTATTTTTGTTTTTTGTTTTTTTTTTTTTTTTTTTTTTTTTTTTTTTTTTTTTTTTTTTTTTTTATTTTTTTTTTTTTTTATTTTTTTTGTTTTTTCTTTTTTTTTATTTTTTTTTTTTTTTTATTTTTTTTTTTTTTTTTTATTTTTTTTTTTTTTTTTTTTTTTTTTTTTTTTTTTTTTTTTTTTTTTTTTTTTAAGGTATGAGGAAGAATGTTGAGGTTGGGAGAAGAGATGGATGAGAAAGAAGTAGGGGGATGCATGAAGATGAAGGTTGTCGGAGCCTTCCAAGCGAGCAATGGGAGTTTGCAGAGTGGGGGGCTAATGTCTTTTTGTCACACGTTGCGACTCTGGATACAGGCGGATGGGCGAGGCGGTTATTGTGGACTTTACTATGCCACTCAGGGAATGATCTTCCTATTTTCATCCTGGGTCGGTACTTATTCTTCATCTCTCCCCTAACACTTCTATGGGGACCTGAGGGTTGAAGAACCTAAGAAGTAGGTGAGGAGGTAGGCCGCATGTCTCGCTTAAGAGAATGGCAAGCGGGTTGGACGGAGGCGTGGTAGTATCTGCTGACCGTCGGGGCGGACCCAACGGACATTGTTTGTCTATGCGGGGCGGATGCCAGGTTAAAGACTGCTTGGCCTGCCCCGATTGCTGAGTCTGCAGGGGATGTGGGCATCGGTCACTTGAGGGGTGATATGTCGGCACCGATTGTGCAGTCACTATTCAAGGGGCCTCGGGCTGTTTTGTTTCCGTTTAGGGATGGCTGGTAGAAGGTGTTTGGGCATATTTAATCTTTTCCCTTTCCAGAAGGGGGAGAGGCGGGATACCACTTGCACTCACAACACTTCTATGTGTTACGGTGACAGTGCTACGCGATGGGCCTCTGTCACTTTTCTCAGACTCTCGGACAAGCTCAACTCTCCTTTACTGCGACGTGGTGAATAGTCAGCTGGAGTATCGGTTTATCCTTTTTTGGAGGCACCAGTTTCATTTATCCATTTCCTAAGCTCCCGGGCCGGGGGCTGGATGTCCCTCCTCTTAGACTCTTGGGCCCCCATTTAGGGGTCATCTGGCCAGTTGAAGGGATAGGTGTGCTGTGAATCTGACCTGCACCCTATGACAAAATAGGATGGAACAGCATCCAGAATCTCTAGTGGCGTAGATGTTAAAGAAGTGTGCACATCGGAAGAGTTGACGTTGTGGTACGAATATGGATGATAGCGATAGCAATGCCGTGGGCTCGTAAACAATTTCGAAATGCAGTGGCTTCTGAACTGTTTGGCCGTCTGGGAGGAAGGAAACGGCTCCTGGTTTTCAGATCGCCGATGTTAGATTGCCAAATGGTTTGAGTCCATCAGCTAAGTTAAAGATCAGAAGTACTGGCTTTGCCACGTATTCTGTATTGCAACAGCTCCTACAGGTTGTGAATTAATTTAAAATTATTGGGTCTTGTGCTGTTTCGTTAAAGGCTGGTTTAGGGTGGTTGGTGGTTGTCATTTGCACCTTGTTTGAATAACGTCCTACAGCCCATGAGGAGTTGTATGTCTGGGGTGTGCTGCCTCATGTGCAGACTTAGGGCATGTATCATCAAATGTTGAACATTTATGGTGAGAGGCCCGTAATTGCCACCCCAGAATGGTATCTTAACGTTCTCATTGCCGACTTGCATTTTATTTCAAGCCCAGTATGAAGTCGGCTTGGGACCTATACAGAGAGTTGGCTGGATTCATACCTGCTTGCTCATGTCACTGGTCGAGGTTCCGTATCTTGAAACCCTGACGAGTGCAACGAGTGGACATTGCCTATGCCTAGCTTTTTAGTATCAGGCTGTCACGTCACTCCTATTAGGCATGTGCGGGGCCTGAAAAATTCCAGTGATTCGGAGCCCTTCTAGACAGTATTCGTTTCGGTGTCGTCGTACTAAATTCGGGGTGTGAATTTAACTTAAAAGCAAGGGTGTTTCTAGGCTTCAGAAGAGGACTTGAGCAGTGCAGAACACTGTTCCTTTAATTTAAATGCCCTTGGAGTCTGCTGGGGAAGAGAAATAATACTGTCAGTTCAGTATGACATGCAGATGAGTGCCGTCGATCTTGAATCACCGCACACTTCACTCATTTGGGCAGTCACGGGGCCAAAAACCAGAGTGTGGAGCCACAGTGTGGCGGTGGAGGGCAGCAGCAATGGGAGGCCATACAGCACCCTATGACAAAAATGGAAACCACCAGCAGTGTGAGGAGACCTGAAAGTGGCACATGGCAGAGTGTGGCGATAGAGACAGCAGCAATGGGAGGCCGTACAGGGACCCATGACACACTCTGGACCTGGGCAGCAGCATGAGGAGGCGGTACAGGGGCCATGGACAGATTACGGGCCTGGCAGCAGCATGAGGAGTCTGGTACAGGGGCCCATGGCAGATTACGGGCCTGGCAGCAGCAATGGGAGGCTGCCGTACAGGGACCCATGACACATCTGGACCTGGCAGCACAGCATGGGGAGGCGATGGGTACAGGGGCCCATGACAGATTACGATCTGGCCTGGCAGCAGCATGAGGAGTCGGTACGGGGGCCCATGACACACTCTGGGGACCTGGCAGCAGCATGAGGAGGCGGTACAGGGGCGCATGACAGATTACGAGCCTGGCAGCAGCAACTTGGACAGGAGGACGTTCAGCTTCTGCACCGTCGGGTGCGTGCTCGCAAACTGTTGTCTCTTGGAAACGGATTCAAGAAAGACTGCTGACGGAATCCGTGAAGAAGAGGAGTAGCAGGAGAAGGAGCATCTGAACGAGCGGAATATGCCAACAAGCGACAACAGTGGCCCATGACAGATTACGGGCCTGGCAGCAGCATGAGGAGTCGGTACGGGGGGCCCATGGCAGATTACGGGCCTGGCAGCAGCTATGGGAGCCCGTAATCTGCCAGCACCCTATGACAAAAAATGGAACCCACCAGCAGTGTGAGGAGACCTGAAAGTGGCACATGGGTGTGGCGATGGAGACAGCAGCAATGGGAGGCCGTACAGGGACCATGAGAGACTCTGGACTGGCAGCATGAGGAGAGGCGGTATATAGGGGCCCATGGCAGATTAGGGGCCTGGCAGCAGCTATGGGAGGCCCGTAATCTGCCAGCACCCTATGACAAAAAATGGAACACACCAGCAGTGTGAGGAGACCTGAAAGTGGCACATGGCAGAGTGTGGCGATGGAGGCAGCAGCAATGGGAGGCCGTACAGGGACCATGAGAGACTCTGGACTTGGCAGCAGCATGAGGAGGCGGTATAGGGGCCCATGGCAGATTAGGGGCCTGGCAGCAGCTATGGGAGGCCCGTAATCTGCCAGCACCCTATGACAAAAAAATTGGAACACACCAGCAGTGTGAGGAGACCTGAAAGTGGCACATGTTTGGGGCATGATTCATGGGGGATTTAGTCAGTTGTGTCAGGAATGGTGGTTTGAAATCCAGACTAATCCACGCCTGATTCATTCACAAACGTGAGTCTCTCCACACTTTGGGTGGACAGTCGTGTCCTCCGCGGAGTTGCAATACCTCCTGCCGCAGGGCGCTCCGATGCCACGCTACTGGCCGGGCATGACAGCCTTTCAAGGGCAAATTCAGTAGTTGGGGCCAAAGGTCAAGTTTCGTTGCCCAGTAGTCAAGGGGATTGTCTACCTCGGTTGGCAGGGTGCTGTCCAAGTAGGCCTAAGCCTGTTGTTTGAGGTCCTGCTCCAGGTCCACCTGATGCTGACTGCTGCTGCTGCGGCTGGTTAGTAGTTTCCTCACTGCGCTGGTGAAGAAAGCTATCATCATCGACTGCAGACTGAGGCAGCGCTGCTGGTGGTGGAGCTGCCACTGCTCCTACCCACCCCACCCCTCCCTGCTGCCATGGCAGTGTGGAGGAACACGAGCGCACAGGGCCCACAGTGTCTGAGGATGGACGTTGGCGCAGACAGGCAGAGACCAGCTGACTACATAGGTTTTTTATAGTACGTTATTTTGGCCTCCCTCTCAGCAGGTGTGAAAAAAAGGCCACCATTTTTGAACGGGTAGCGAGGGTCCAACAAGGTGGACAGCCAAAAGTCATCCCTCTGTCTGATGGTTATTATTCGGCTGTCGCTACGCAAGCAACCGAGCATGCTATGGGCCATTTGTGCCAAGGAATGCGAGGGACTCCCTGCCTCCATCTCACAGCATACTGCCACGGTGCGTCTAGGTCCTCTGTCTCCTCTTCCTCCTCCTCTACCAGATGCTCCTGCTCCTCCACTCCTGTCCGCTGAGTGGAAAAACCACCCATTTCACTCAATAATTCCTGAGCACCAATGTCCTCCTCTACCTCCTCCTCTTCTTCCAGTCCTGCCCCCACAGGGGCATGTGGCGTTGAGATCTGTGCGCCACGTCTACCGCACCCTGACCAGCCATTGTTAACAGCATTTGTTCCAGGACGTGCAACAGAGGAATGACGTCGTCATCATCCCATAGTCCTGCCGACTCACGAATAGCGTGGCCTCCTCAAAGGGCCTGAGCAAGCGCAGGTGTCACGCATGAGCTGCCAATGGCTGACATCTAAGTTACACAGGGGAGTACCTTTATCTGCTTTTAACATCAGGAAATCTGTGATGGCCTTTTGCTGTTCGTAAAGGCGGTCTAACATATGTAGGGTTGAATTCCACCTTGTTGCAACGTCACAGCATGAGGAGTCGGTATAGGGGCCCATGGCAGATTAGGGGCCTGGCAGCAGTTATGGGGAGGCCGTAATCTGCCAGCACCCTATGACAAAAAATGGAAACACACCAGCAGTGTGAGGAGACCTGAAAGTGGCACATGGCAGAGTGTGGCGATGGAGACAGCAGCAATGGGAGGCCGTACAGGGACCCATGAGAGACTCTGGACCTGGCAGCAGCATGAGGAGGCGGTATATAGGGGCCCATGGCAGATTAGGGGCCTGGCAGCAGCTATGGGAGGCCCGTAATCTGCCAGCACCCTATGTCAAAAAATTCAAACACACCAGCAGTGTGTGAGGAGACCTGAAAGTGGCACATGGCAGCAGAGTGTGGCGATGGAGACAGCAGCAATGGGAGGCCGTACAGGGACCATGACAGACAGGACTGGACTTGGCAGCAGCATGAGGAGGCGGTATATAGGGGCCCATGGCAGATTAGGGGCCTGGCAGCAGCTATGTGAGGCCCGTAATCTGCCCAGCACCCTATGTCAAAAAAATTCAAACACACCAGCAGTGTGTGAGGACCTGAAAGTGGCACATGGCAGAGTGTGGCGATGGAGACAGCAGCAATGGGAGGCCGTACAGGACCCATGACAGACTCTGGACTTGGCAGCAGCATGAGGAGGCGGTATATAGGGGCCCATGGCAGATTAGGGGCCTGGGCAGCAGCTATGGGAGGCCCGTAATCTGCCAGCACCCTATGTCAAAAAAATTTAACACACCAGCAGTGTGAGGAGACCTGAAAAAGCACATGGCATGGCAGAGTGTGGCGATGGAGACAGCAGCAATGGGAGGCCGTACAGGGACCCATGAGAGACTCTGGACTTGGCAGCAGCATGCATGAGGAGGCGGTATATATAGGGGCCCATGGCAGATTAGGGGCCTGGCAGCAGCTATGGAGGCCCGTAATCTGCCAGCACCCTATGTCAAAAAATTAAACACACCAGCAGTGTGAGAGACCTGAAAGTGGCACATGGCAGAGTGTGGCGATGGAGACAGCAGCAATGGGAGGCCGTACAGGGACCCATGAGAGACTCTGGACTTGGCAGCAGCATGAGGAGGCGGGTATATAGGGGCCCATGGCAGATTAGGGGCCTGGGCAGCAGCTATGGGAGGCCCGTAATCTGCCAGCACCCTATGTCAAAAAATTTAACACACCAGCAGTGTGAGAGACCTGAAAGTGGCACATGGCAGCAGAGTGTGGCGATGGAGACAGCAGCAATGGGAGGGCGTACAGGACCCATGAGAGACTCTGGACTTGGCAGCAGCATGAGGAGGCGGTATATATATATAGGGGGCCATGGCAGATTAGGGGGGCTGGCAGCAGCTATGTGAGGCCCGTAATCTGCCTGCCCTATGTCAAAAAAATTAAACACCAGCAGTGTGAAGAGACTGAAAGTGGCACATGGGCAGCAGAGTGTGTGGCGATGGAGACAGCAGCAATGGGAGGCCGTACAGGGACCATGACAGACTCTGGACTTGGCAGCAGCATGAGGAGGCGGGTATATAGGGGCCCATGGCAGATTAGGGGCCTGGCAGCAGCTATGTGAGGCCCGTAATCTGCCTGCACCCTATGTCAAAAAAATTTAAACACACCAGCAGTGTGAAGAGACCTGAAAAGTGGCACATGGCAGCAGAGTGTGGCGATGGAGACAGCAGCAATGGGAGGCCGTACAGGGACCCATGACAGACTCTGGACTTGGCAGCAGCATGAGGAGGCGGTATATAGGGGCCCATGGCAGATTAGGGGCCTGGCAGCAGCTATGTGAGGCCCGTAATCTATTGCCTGCACCCTATGTCAAAAAATTTAACACACCAGCAGTGTGAAGAGACCTGAAAGTGGCACATGGGCAGCAGAGTGTGGCGATGGAGAGCAGCAGCAATGGGAGGCCGTACAGGGACCCATGAGAGACTCTGGACTTGGCAGCAGCAGCAGATGGAGGGCGGTATATAGGGGCCCATGGCAGATTAGGGGCCTGGCAGCAGCTATGTGAGGCCCGTAATCTGCCTGCACCCTATGTCAAAAAAAAAAACACACCAGCAGTGTGAAGAGACCTGAAAGTGGCACATGGCAGCAGAGTGTGGCGATGGAGACAGCAGCAATGGGAGGCCGTACAGGGACCCATGAGAGACTCTGGACTTGGCAGCAGCATGAGGAGGCGGTATATAGGGGCCCATGGCAGATTAGGGGCCTGGCAGCAGCTATGTGAGGCCCGTAATCTGCCTGCACCCTATGTCAAAAAATTTAAACACCAGCAGTGTGAAGAGACCTGAAAGTGGCACATGGCAGCAGAGTGTGGCGATGGAGACAGCAGCAATGGGAGGCCGTACAGGGACCCATGAGAGACTCTGGACTGGACTTGGCAGCAGCATGAGGAGGGGGGTATATAGGGGCCCATGGCAGATAGGGGCCTGGCAGCAGCTATGTGAGGCCCGTAATCTGCCTGCACCCTATGTCAAAAAATTTAAACACACCAGCAGTGTGAAGAGACCTGAAAGTGGCACATGGCAGCAGAGTGTGGCGATGGAGACAGCAGCAATGGGAGGCCGTACAGGGACCCATGAGAGAGACTCTGGACTTGGCAGCAGCATGAGGAGGCGGCGGTATATAGGGCCCATGGCAGATTAGGGGCCTGGCAGCAGCTATGTGAGGCCCGTAATCTGCCTGCACCCTATGTCAAAAAAAATTTAAACACACCAGCAGTGTGAAGAGACCTGACCTGAAAGTGGCACATGGCAGCAGAGTGTGGCGATGGAGACAGCAGCAATGGGAGGCCGTACAGGGACCCAGAGACTCTGGACTTGGACTTGGCAGCATGATGAGGAGGCGGTATATAGGGGCCCATGGCAGATTAGGGGCCTGGCAGCAGCTATGTGAGGCCCGTAATCTGCCTGCACCCTATGTCAAAAAATTTAAACACACCAGCAGTGTGAAGAGACCTGAAAGTGGCACATGGCAGCAGAGTGAGTGTGGCGATGGAGACAGCAGCAATGGGAGGCCGTACAGGGACCCATGACAGACTCTGGATTGGCTTGGCAGCAGCAGGAGGAGGCGGTATATAGGGGCCCATGGCAGATTAGGGGCTGGCAGCAGCTATGTGAGGCCCGTAATCTGCCTGCACCCTATGTCAAAAATTTAAACACCCAGCAGTGTGAGAGAGACCTGAAAGTGGCACATGGCAGGCATCAGTGTGGCGATCTCCTCCCATTTTCAGCAGCCTTCCTCTACAGGGACCCATTCCCATCTCTCAATTCATTCCTCCTCCATCTTCTTTTCTTTTTACAGACTTTTTTCCCCATTGGCCTCAACTTTTCCATTCCCCATCATATCTGCACCCATCATCCCTATATCCCCCCCCCCCCCCCCCCCCCCCCCCCTATCCTATATCCCTCCATCCCTATTCCCCATTCCCATTCCTCCTCTATCATTCTCATTCTCCCTCCTCCCCATTTCTTCCTACCCTTTATCCCATTTTCCATCCATCATCATTCATTCCTCATTTCATCATTCTTCTCTTTACACCTTTTTCCCCCATTTCTAACTTTTCAGCAGTATTCTCTCATTCCATATCTTCCCCCTTCCATCCCCTATCCCCCCCCCATTTCCCACCCCCCCCCCTCCTATATCTTCTCCCATCCTATCATCCCCATTCCTCATCTATATTCCCAATTCATTCTTTCCCTCCCCCCCCCCTTTCTTCCTACCTTTTCCCCCCATCTCTCCATCCCATTTCAATTCCTTCTCTCTTCATCTTCTTTTTTACACACTTTTCCCATTTCAACTTTTTCCTCTCACATATCTTTCCTACCACAATATCCCCACCCCCCATACCCCCCCAAACCCCCCCCCCCCCCCCCCCCTCCTATATCCTCTCCCATCCCTATTCCCATTCCCCCTATTCCCATTCTCTCTCTATATCTTCCATTCTCCCCCTCCCCTCCATTTCTTCCTCCCCTTTTCCCATTCCTCTCCCATTCTCATTTTCTCCTCATCTTCTTCTTTTTACACACTTTTCCCCCCCCATTCCTCAACCCCATTCCCTCCTACATATCTTCCCCCTACCCCCCCCCCATCCCCCCCCCCCCCCCCCCCCCCCATCTCTATATCCTCTCTCATCCCCCCCCCCATTCATCTCTCCATATATTCTCATTCTCCCCCTCTCCCATTTCTTCCTACCTTCCCCCATTTTTCCATCCTCTTTCATTTTCTCATTCCTCTCTCATCTTCTTTTACACACTTTTCCCCATTCCTCAACTTTTCATTTCCATTCTCTACCATATCTTCCCCTACCACATCCCCCCCCCACATACCCCCCCCCCCCCCCCCCCCCCCCTATATATCCTCTCATCCTATTCCCCATTCTCCTATCTATATTCTCATTCTCCTCCTCCTCCCCATTTCTTCCTACCCTTTCCCCCCCCATCTCTCAATTCAATTCAATCCCTCCATCTTCATCTTTTTCTCTTACACACTTTTCCCCCCATTCCTCAACTTTTCATTCCATCCTCACATATCTTCTACCATATCATCCCCCCCCCCATACCCCCCCCCCAAACCCCCCCCCCCCCCCCTATATCTCTCTCCCATCCCTATTCCCCATTCTCTCTCTATATTCTCATTCTCCCCCCCCCCCCATTTTTTCTTTACCCTTTCCCCCCCCATCATCTCAATTCAATTCTCCTCATCTTCTTCTTTTTACACACTTTTCCCATTCTCAACTTTTCATTCCTCTCACATATCTTCCTACCAATCCATCCCCCACATACCCCCCCCCCACCCCCCCCCCCCCCTCCTATATCCTCTCCATCTCC